ATCATCTGTAGCATTTTGGACAAACCTCATCTCATTCCAATTTTGTTCAAATACCACTTAATGTTTCATGTGATTTCCCTTTGTCCTGGTTATACCTGTCTCTCTTTTGTAGGACCCCTGTTAAAATATGAGGAAACACATAGCTATCCATGTTATTATGCCCATTTCTTTATATATCACTTGCTTCACCATCAAGATGACCCATTTTCATATGGTAAGAATAGGGGTTTTGAGAGCCTCATATCCCTCATAACTCCATTTGCCATTTTGAGTTTCTGACCACTTGATCCTGCTTCTCTTTTCTGTGAACTTTTGAAATCTGCTTTTCTTCAAAGGCCAGGATAGACTACTTGGTCTATTACAAATTCTAATTTTACATTATCACTTTCTCTCAAGATTTCCATCACTTCTGCTTTATTACCAACCTGTGTATCCTTATTGGTTAGAAGTCCAGGATCATGGTTTCTCTCACCATCTCATTCTGAGAGGTAGAACTTGTCAGACAGCAATGCAGAAAATATCAGCAGAAGATGAAGAACACAAGATGTTCAAATAATTGGCATCTCATGATGTCACTGTCTTATTTCTGAGCCAATGTGGGCATTTCTGTTAAAAATATATCATCTACATCTTTGGTTTGGTGAGCAGTCTGATTATATGGCCATTAATGTGATATTCTTTCTTCTTTTAAACTTACTTTAAATATTCTTTATGACATTTCATCCCTAGCTCTGTGGCTTTCCAGGCACGTGCATGTTTTCTTGACAGAGTGTGTTCTTTTGTCATCTTATGTTATCTGGACATTGCAGAATGTCTGTTGGCATGGGAACTACTCTTTGCTGAAACCAACGACTGTGGAATCATATTTGTCACTGTTTCTAACGTTGAAAATTCATTGATAGCCACTCACCTTTTCACCTTTTTATTGTGCATTTCTGTATAGACATCTAAGACCATATGTATTTGTTCCTGGCTTTTTTAGCTTTCATGCCACATTCTCCTATATTTTTATACTTCTCGTACAAACTCTTAGCATGAAGCTTAAGAAGATATTTACCTTCTTACTCTTTTGGATTTTTTTTTCTCCTTTGGATTTTTAAGAAAGATGCTTAACACTGATCTCCTCCTTCCTCCCATTTTCTCTTCATCTTACTCATCCTATGGGTTAAATTAGCACCCACAGCGCCTCTGCGTCTACCTTGTAGCTTTTTCTGTTATTGCTTATTGCCTCCCTCTTCTATTTTTCTAGTCCTCCATGGCTTTTTGCTCTTTAGGGGCTACTTACTTAGTGTTTCTTGTGAGTCTAGACGTTATTGTTTGCTGTAGTCTGGTTTTTTATTTCTTGGCAAAAGAAGCATGTTCCTTGTAAACTTTTTTGAAAGTTAAAATGACCCAGGAAAACAATCTGGAATGCGAGTGTTCCCCTTCCTCCCCCAACTGTCCTCACTTTGTATTGTACACAGAGTTTTGCAGGTGTACAGCATTTTTCACTAACTTTTAGGGTCGGGCCTATTTTTGTGTCTATAATGGATTGAGGTTGTCACTAAAATAAGATAAAAAATAAGACTGTTATTGCCTTGCAGCTCCTCTGTTCCCTTACCTGAGATATAAATAAAGTTTGCCAAGTAAGTACAAAAACATTGCCACCAAGAGATGAATTTTTATCCTTCTCCAAGTTTTAAAATAAAGTTTAAAGTTTTTCATAGTTATAAAGCAAGAAGAGTACGGGGCAGAGAAAGCAACCTTTTCAAACAAAGTTCAAATCAATAACAATTAACATTTCATAGCCTCTATTTTCCTGCTAATGACTGAAGACATGTACTAATTAGAGAAGCCGGCAAGTGTCTGGATTTCAGGTTGTAGCAGATGGTGCTGTGTGAGAACTATTCATAGTGCCAGGGAGAAGTCTGGCTTGTTCTTAGCTACCTTTCTTCCATCTTGATCTTGTCTGAGGACACTTACATCTGTCTGCTGCTTTGCACTGAGGGTTTTTTCTTTGTCCTTTAGTCTCTCTCTTACCCATTTCTAATTTCAGGAGGTACATTCTGCCGTCTTTAGTGGGCTCTTATGATCTTATATTTTTACTTTTCCCTAACAAGCTCATTTCTTTCATTGTTTTCTTTTTAGATTGCTTTTGACTCTCATGTTATCACCTGATCTCACTATACTTTTAATCCCCCCGTTGCTTCTTTCTTACTGTTTTTTTCCTCAAGATCACACAAAGCTGCAACAGAACTCTTCAATTCCTTCAATAGCCAGCATTAAGATAGTTCTGCCTCTTCAGTTTTGTTTTTTTTTATAACTCTTTTCACAAATTGTCTGAAAATAAATGTTTTATTCTCTGGTTTGTACTTCAAATATTTTCTTCCTTTGCTATTAACTCTGTTAACTAACTCCAAGAAAGCTTGGATTTTTGTATAGATATTTTCAGTACTGTTGAGTGTTGATATTGTTTTGACAAATGCTGCACCTATATTTTCTACAATATGAAAATCCTTTGTATTAGGATGACAAAGCATGGAACTGATTATGTTTAACTTGATTCTTGCTTTTCATCAGTTTTTTATTTTTATTTTTTAACCAGGACATATTTATTCTATTTGTTGTGAAAGTTGTGATATAATTGCCCTTAGTAATGAAGTGTTACACTTATTGAGTGTTTTTTGTTGAAAGTTTCTTTGCTGGAACCTGGAGAAAATAGTGATTACTTACCATGACTATTTCTGGTATAAGTGAGGAGGACTACTTTTCTTTTTCTTCTCCATTATGTCCTTATCCCCGCTGAAGGGTAAGGCAGGGGAACCATTTAGGAAGCTGCTGTAATAATTAAGCAAGAGATCTGAGGGCCTGACCTTCTAGAGCAGAATTAGGCATGGAAAATAATTCACATTATTATCTTCAAATACGTAGGCAAAAAGGGTTTCCTTAATTTATTTCCTAATGTAACTACTTTTTGAATTTAAAAACTTCAATTTTTTCTTAAAGTCTCCTTTTTCCTTTTAACATGCCCTTTTTGGTACATGTCTAACTAATTGTGGAATTCATCACGTGCCCAGTTATGTATTTCCTAGTTTTGTAAACTGCTTACTCGGTGCCTATTGCATCTTTAAAGAGCAATAACATTTGTAGGTCCCCTTCTCCCTGAGTATAAAAGTAAATGGGAAACAAAAATAACTTGTACCATCACCCAGAGGTAACAATTATTAACATTTCAATGTGTTTCTTTTCATTTTTTCATAGGTATAAAAATAATTGTGCTGGAGTGCATATCTATAAATATTTATTTATTTATATGAAATCTTGCATTTTTATAAAACATGAAGTTACGAGATATTAAATATTATGAAAACATAATATTGATTCATCCTGTGGATATACCATATTTATTTTACCATTTCTCTATTGTTGACCATTTAGGTTCTTTCCAACTCATTATTATGATAATGAATGCTGTGGTTAATATTTTCATGTATATCCTCTTCACATATATCTTCAGGGTTATGGATTAATGTATAAACACCTTTTTAAAGCCAAGAACTTCTTTGAAGGCTTGAATTGAATAAGTGAAAAGGCGCGAATGAGCCCTAATGGCTGAAAGTTTTAACCAGTTGCAGAGGTACAACAGTGCTTAGCTGCTCTGTACTCCCACCTCCACTTCCTCTTTACCTGGTACCAACTTGGATGGAGAGAGGATGCTAGAGCACAGAGGTTTGGAGAGTAAAACACAAAGTGCAGTAGCACGGAGCCCCCCCTTGCCTCCCCTCACTCCTCCCCAGATGCATCTCCACCCACTACTTGGATCCATGTTTACTGGCTCGTCCTTGGAGTTTGTGTTTGATTTTTGTCAAGATTCTTCTGTTTATCAAAGATAACTTTTATCCATCATGTCCTGGTCTTTTTCAGCTACTTGGGAGCATTGTACAATAACTAAAATGTGACCCTGGTATTCTCTCACTGTAGAAGGAGTCTGGTTAGGGCATATAGTAGCAGAATCTCATAAGGAGGGCTACTTAACCTCAAAAACTTCTGGAGAGTTCAATTAATAGTTTAGGAGACAAGTTCCAGACAACTTTCCTTGTTAAAGTCAGTTCATGTATGCAAAAAATTATTTGCGTTGGGTATGGTGTCTATTAAGTCGAGTACTCATTCACAATCTTAAAGATTGTATATAGCACCAGAAAGCTAATGATTTGACCACAGCAATGTTGGGTTTAGTTTTTCTGCATCCTTGTCAGTCTGAATTTAAAAAATTTTCATAATAAAAACTCTCTTTTTAAAAATAAAGACTAAAATAGGCTAACTTGGGGCATTTCATATTGCTGTAAAATGCCCTTATGCTCTGTGGATGACTTTAATTCTAATTAAATCAAATATCTCTAGTTATTAGTTAATATTTTCTTTTTGAAATTTCCATATTAAAATTAATTATCTGTCTTTAAGTAAAATTACTTCAGCAATTGCAGTTCTATCATGATCCTAGGAAGCTAACAGGAATAGTTAAAAACTGTTACAAATAGCACTTGTATCTATATTTATAAATCTCTTCGCTGACCAAGCAGATGTTACAGATTTTTGTGTTTGATATAATAAATTTCCCAATAATTTTGAAACTCTGTGTGTAAGGAATGTGCTTTCAAGTTCTGCATAGTTGAACTGCAATTTGTGAAAGTTCAAGCAGCTGTACTGACAAGCCATTTCACAAATTTGTAACTGAGGCTTTTTTAAGCAAAGATTTAGTTCTGGAGCTCTGTGTTCTGTATTTTATGTTCAGGCACATGCATTTGAATTTCTTTTCTTTTTGGGGTCCAGAAGGTATGATATACATTACAAATATGTACACATGCATTCATACATAGATACATATACATATTCTCTCATACTTATATTTACATTGAATATCCAACTTAAGTGGGAGTTGAAGATTCCCTATTTTTAAAAGTAAAATATATTCAGCTTAAGCTTTCACTGTCTAATTTTTTAAAAAATTTCTCTTTGTCTAGGTTGAAGAAATTGTGGATATTGGATCATTTGCTCCAGAAGAGATCCATGTTCCTAAGATTTATGTACATCGCCTTATAAAGGGAGAAAAATATGAGAAAAGAATTGAGGTGATTGACTTAGCTTCTTTGTCAGTATTTATGGATCTGATCACCAGAGATGGATGTCCCTGAAGCCATTCCAGATGATAGGGAATTGGAGCTGAGCAAGAAATCTTCTTTTGGATCTTAGTAGGAACTCCTCATGTGTCCGTTTTAAGGGGATAGGATTGTTTGTGCTACTGTCCAGCCCATATCATCATGACATGTGATTCTCTAGGTTGTGTTTTCCAGGCTTCTATAACTGTCCTAATTTGTGATGCATAGTTTTGGCTGGCTGTCTTAGAGGGTATAGAATAATCAGGTCTTTGATGGCTTTACCCCTGCTATAGTCTTAATGTTTGGTGGTTCAGAAATGTCTATTTATCTTGAAGCTGTTTTGCACTTTTATAGAGTGCAGAAAGGACATCATTTTCAATTAGCTTTGGGCTCTGGGCAGCTGGTGGGTATGAGATTGTGGCAAGAAGGGGGTACCAGGAGCATTGGAGGTATTTCAAGGCCACTGAGAGCATAAAAAATGACTAGCTGGGCCAGAATTGATATTAAGATTCAGAAGTATCTGGCGATCAGCAACAGAACAGTAGGGGATATCAGGGAATCAGAGATACCCACTACCCTGTGAACATCAAACTGAAAGACAATCTGAAATCCCAAATCCCCCTAGTGTCAGGGTTGTAGGGAGAAAAGATGGGAGATTTGTAAACTGGAACTAGAGTCTGTGTTGAGGAGATTTAGTCATACAAATAGTTTTGTGGCTGATTTCTGTGATGTACTTGTAGCAAAACCAGTCTAGACTCTGCAGGTGGAAATAGGCAATTGGCAGCAGCAGCACCTGGTAAACACATTCTGACAGGCCTGAAAAACAGATTCCCAAGGTCTATTCCTTTTTCTTTGTTCTGGTTCAATCCCTGAGCACCTGAGAATTCATTTGCAGGAGTGTTAAGAGTAACAGTAGTAGCAGTCAATGTGATAGTAACAGGGAGATTATTTGCTTCAAGGAGATAGAACAAATCTGACCTCTTTCATTTACTTCCTAAAAATTTATTTCTGTTACCAAATGTCACTCATGTTATTCTTTTTTTCAATTCTCTGTTATATTATAGATTTGCCTCATGATACTAATGAGAGAGTTCATTTTTTTTCCAGTAAAATTTTATGTTTCAACAGTGATAAAATACAAAGCGTACCTTCAACCCGAATAATTTATTTCTGTTAATTTTTAAAGCGTTTATCAGTCCGTAAAGAGGGAGATGGAAAAGCCAAATCTGGTAAACCTGGAGATAACGTAAGGGAACGTATCATCAGGCGGGCAGCTCTTGAATTTGAGGATGGCATGTATGGTATCCTTTTGCAACTAGACAAGGACATAGTCCTTGCTTTTCCCATATAGATCAGCTACTAGGCCTCCTGCACAGTGATTCACCCCTAATCCATGGAAACATTTAAAGCAGTTGATAATTTTTTTTGAAAAATGTAACATATAACTCAAAATATCAAGATATATGAAATTGAGATTATAATCTGTTTGCTTTCTTCAAATAAAATGGCAACCAAAAATTTGCTTAGCTGTTTTCTAATATACAATGGATTTTGGTACAATTTAGCATTTATCTAGAGGTTATTGGGAAAAGAGATTACCCAAGGTGAAGGTTTCAAATCTCAGAATTACTAGTGATAGCCAGTGCTATTTACTTTCTCTATATTCTTACATTTGCAAACTCATTGAAACATAAGATCCATCTTCTTAGTAACTCTCTGTTTCCCTTGACAAAGATCAAAAATGAGTGTACCATTTTATGTCTAATGTTTTGTAAGGGTATTTTATTAGTTCATTTTTGTTGCTTATAACAAAATACCTGAAACTGCGTGATTGATAAGGAAAAATGACATTTATTGCTTACAGTTTCTGTGGCTGGGAAGTCCAAAGTCCATCTGGTGGTGGTGACAATGACCCAGGGGTCTCACATTGCAAGATGGTGGAAGCAGAGAGAGAAGAGAGAGCTTCACCTCTTTCCTCTGTCTTTTGTTCTCTCCAGAACCGCAGTGGATTGGATGGTTCCCACCCACATTGAGGGTGGCTCTTTCCCACCGAGTCCACTCAGACTCTCATACTAATCTCTGCTGGAAACACCCTCATGGACACACCTAAAAAGATAGCTTTACCAGGTTTCTCAGCATTCCTTCATCTAACCAGGTTGACACCTATAGTTAACCTTCACAGGTATTCAATGAATGATTCAAATTCTGCTTTAGATACTTGGTCAAAAAAGTGATAAATAGGGTAGACATTATTTAGTATAATTAGTATTTGGATTTTGAGTGCATTTAAATAACAGTGAGTGTGTTCACCATTTTGCTAATTTTCAGTACACCAGCCATTGAACTATATAATACACATAATACATATAAATGCAAATAGTATATGATAATATCAGTATTTGTTGAATGATGGATACAGTAAAGACATACTTAAAGACCTAGGACAGGAAGAACTAGAAACATGACAAGTATCTCTATTCTGTGAGCTTCCCTAGTTCATGAATATCACCCTGCAAGACTGTAATCTTAACTGGGAGAACTTTATTTTTCTTTTTACCTTTACCTCATTTTTCTTTACTTTTCAGTTTATACCTTGTATTACAATGAGAATTTACATAGGGGGAGAGAATATCATGTTGCCTCTCCTCCAGCTCCTGTATCAGCAAGATACGGAGTCAACCAAGTTGACTTAGTAGATGAAAGTTAGTTTCTGGACTTTCTTCTCAACCCCAGTCAATTGACTTACCACTGATATTTGAACACTGACTGTAACACTGATTTTAGGTGCTAATGACTTCTGGGTGTTCTTTATTTGCTGTTATTGTATTGCCGATGAAAAATATTTTCAAGTCAGTTCATATAAATGGTCCTTCCATGTTACCTACTCTTTTTCATCCCAAAGTACATAGACTTTTCTCTCCCTGGTGTTTGACTTACTAAAAAGTATTGAAGAACTGAGAAAATGATAGAATGTGATGAAAGATTTGAGGCATAAAGTTTGTAGTTTGGGTTGCTCTTACCTGAAAATACCTGCTCATAATGGAATTAATATCTCAATGTTCTAGGCATCGCAGTGAGAAATGAAGTACAAATAACACTATCCTAGACGGTGATCTGCTAAGAGATGAACCAAGTAGCTGTCACCATAGCTTCTACCATATCCACAGAAGTGACTGAGTTGTCCTGCTGGCCTTCATAGTTTTATAATATGGCAGCTCGTTTAAACTTTATGTTTTTCTGGCCTTGATTCACAAATATTTCGCTGTTATTGGAATCTCATCAGAATGCCAGCATTCGTTGTACTATTTCTGGCAAGGTCTTCTGTGTGGGCAGCAGTTCCGGGCAGTGTGAGTACCTCTGATCTGGTCAGCCTGCCTGCATTGCGTGTCAGGATTGAACTCACACCACTGCAGACAAATCAGAGTTGACCCTAGGTTGATCATCTAAGGAAGAGGATTCAACACCCTCAGTTAACTCCTTGATGCCTTTACACAGCTACTTTTTATGTGGCCTCGGTTGTATTTGCTGAAACATAATCCCCTCCCCCCCCTTCCTCTTTATGTCTCCGAGAAGATTCCGTTACCAATGAGTATAACCATAGTGACCCAAAGGAGTTGATAAACTTTTAGGAAGACATTTTGCTATTGTCAGAAAACTTTTTAAAAAAATTTAAATACAGTAGTCCCTTTTTTGGAATATTAAATCATCTTTATTTTTAGAGGAAGTTTTGAATAGTGAAAATCATTTTTAAACAAAGGTCAAGCCATGTTTAATACTGCATCGAAGACATTTTGCTATTGTCAGAAAACTTTTTAAAAAAATTTAAATACAGTAGTCCCTTTTTTTGAATATTAAATCATCTTTATTTTTAGAGGGAGTTTTGAATAGTGAAAATCATTTTTAAACAAAGGTCAAGCCATGTTTAATACTGCATCAGTCATAATACATTCATCCAAATCTGCTAAGCATATTAATGAAACTAAAATGTATCTTACATTTTTGTTAAAATGACCTCTTGGTTAGCTTCTGAAGCCAACACTTTGATATCTTTGTGGGAAAGCATATTAATGTTTTTGAAAAAGCTGTGACTAATTAGAGCTTTTCTTTTTGAAAATTACAGAATAGTGCCCAGAGTGTGAATGGAGAGCATATTGTTATTATATTCAGAGTGAGTTCCCTTTAAAGTAGGCTTCTGTTCAGATTTATATATATAGAATGTTTATGGCATAATCTCTCTACCTTTTATATGCTGGTCCTTAACATCTTTTTTTCCCAGCTAATTTGGGCATAGGGATCCCTCTTCTGGCCAGCAATTTTATCAGCCCAACTATGACTGTTCATCTGCAAAGTGAAAATGGAGTCCTGGGTTTGGTAAGATGGAAATTAAAGTTTTGTTAATCCATTCTACAGAATGAAATATTTTGTGTAGTGAAATCTGATAACTGAGAGTTGTTAGCTTAAAGTTCCTTTTCTTATTTTTCTCTCTTTTTGTTATAATAAAATATTGAACTTTTTCCTTGCGGTGGTATTAATTGTGAGTAGATAGTTTCCTGACTATGTGAGCATTCTGACTGCTCCTTTTTGACATTCTATCAGTTTCTCTCTCCCACATCATACTGTTTCCTGTTTAGTTAACTATTTCTAACTCTTCTGTGGTTGGACAAGATAATGAAGATTTTTAGTAATTACATGTTAAATAAAAATCAATAAGGTTCAGAAAGAGAAACTAAAGAGTAAGTTTTCTACTTCAGGACAAGGGTATTTTTTGACAATTGATTACTTCAAGAAGTCAGAAGTTTTCATCCAATTTTTGTTTTGAGGCTGTAATATCCAAAAGAGTAGAATTTTCTCTTCCTCAAAATTAATCTTTCATGTGAGTTCAGTCTTCTTAAAGAACTAGGCCATACTTTTGATTCAATATTATAATAAAATTAGAAATACAGCCATGAAAACATTGGAATTATTTATAAAAGGTTTACTTCAAGTCTTTGGATGATAACTTTCTAAGGTTTTTCGAGAAGTTATTTATGACAGTTTTGGTATGTAATTCAGTGAGAATCTTCTTTTACTAATTGAATGCTGTATTTGACAGGGTCCATATCCATTACAACATGAAGTTGATGCAGATCTAATCAATGCAGGTAAACTTACTTATTATATATTTTTCTAGTGTTTCTCTTTGGTATTAATCTAGTTCTGTGCCAAATAATAGTAAGGATTTGGACTCAATTCTTTGTCTTTTCCTAGAGTGTGTTCTATCGTGTTTATCATTAAGGAGGTAAACCCTTTTTGAGGTTTCCTCTCATTCAAGGATGACTGAATTAAAGGAGGAAATGTAGGTGGAGGAAAATGGAAGACCTTTGATGGGTCAATCAGTCAGGGTCCTGCCCAAAAATAGAGACCACTCTCAAATGGGGTAATTGAGGAGAGTTAAAGGAAAGGACAATTTACAATGGTGTGGACAGGATTAAGGGAAACCAAGAAAAGATGGTGAAATCCCACAGGGATTTATTATCACCCCTAGGCCTTAAGGGGAAGTGGTAGGAGAGGGCCACCTAACAGGAACTGGGGACATTGATGGAGGAACACAGCCACCTTGCAGCAACCTTGGTAGGGTGAAGGTCTCCTCTACTGGGTCTCCAGTCTATGCCTCCCACTGGCCAATCCCAAGTGGAAGTAGGTCAGCCTTCTCAGGATGGAGAAAGATGGGAGGGGATCCATAGTGGCAGCAAGAAGAGATCTGGTGCACTGGGGTTTTTGTTGTAGGCAATGCATATTGTCTAGTCCTCTTTGGGATGGGAGAGCATCCTCCAAAGGTATAAGGGTGCATAAGAATGTACTCAGCAGCTAAGTACGGCTCAGTGATGTGAATAATAAATACAGAGATTCTTTGAATCAGGGACTCTAGCCTTGTCTTCTCTTTTGTTCCTCTGTTGATATGCTGTGCCTTTTCTTCGACTGGGATATAGAGTCACATATATTAGCAGCCTAGAGGAGGAAGAACAGGCCTTTTGGCCATCGTCATTGCCTGTGCTTGAAGCAACATTGCTACCATGTTGGGGCTGTAGGTCATCTTTGGAGTAGAGNGAGAAATAGTTTTGCTTCTTAAATGACATTTAAAAAAAATTATTTGCTATGGCAGGGGTTATTTATAGCTTGACAATTTATAATATTCCCAATATTTTGTTATTTCTCAGTAGATCTTAACTGTGAATGCAATAAAAATTGTATATATGGGAAATATATATCCAGTATTTAAAATATAAATACTGATCATGAGCTTATAGTTGATACTGACTGATTGAGGCAATAATGACCATTTTCAAAGACAAAAATGATAAGTATTTGGGTAAAAGCAGATTCATATTGAAGCCAAAGGCTTTCACTTTTAAGGTACCTTAGAGATTATCTAGAGTGATCAACTATCTCATTTTGAAGACAAAGGAAATAAATTTATGTGAATTATCCATGGTCAATGTTTAAAGGAAAATTCACTTATATCTAAAACATTAACTGCCACTTCAATTATTTATAGGATAAATTTTTGGTCCCTCTTTGGAAAGTATATAAAAATTTAACAGGAGGTATTTCCTTATTCTTGGCTCCATGATATGCCTTTTTTTTCCCCCTTTTTCCTTTTACTCCCATTTTGTTTAACATACATTATATTATGAAACTACATGCCTCATTCAAGTAATTAGAGTTGCCTTATAAAAATATGTACAACATTTTTAAAAAGCACCTTACTTAGAATAACTGAGCAAAGGAAACATAAATATATCAAAACCTAGGTATAGTGAGACATAAAGTTAGAACCCCAAATTTAGGCTTTTAGTTTCTGCTAGCAGAAAGCTGACACTTTGCCTCGAGGTCCTCCAAGCCAAACGATGCAGCCATGTAGTTTGTATTTATTGATCCTAACAGAAAGGTTTATGAATAACAGTAGCTGCATAGTAGATACAAAATAATTTCTTTTTTGTTTTATTGACCTATATTTCTAATGGCTCAACATTTCTGAGTAGGTACTCAATAATTACATTTTAGTTTTATTGACCTGTATTTCTAGTAGCATAACGTTTCTTTCAAACTGGCAATTTTTAGATAATATTTTTCATTTGCCTAATTAAAACCATTAGTGTAGAAAAGGTGAATCAATATGAGAAATACAGCCATGAAAACATTGGAATTATTTATAAAAGGTTTACTTCAAGTCTTTGGATGATAACTTTCTAAGGTTTTTCGAGAAGTTATTTATGACAGTTTTGGTATGTAATTCAGTGAGAATCTTCTTTTACTAATTGAATGCTGTATTTGACAGGGTCCATATCCATTACAACATGAAGTTGATGCAGATCTAATCAATGCAGGTAAACTTACTTATTATATATTTTTCTAGTGTTTCTCTTTGGTATTAATCTAGTTCTGTGCCAAATAATAGTAAGGATTTGGACTCAATTCTTTGTTTTTTCCTAGAGTGTGTTCTATTGTGTTTATCATTAAGGAGGTAAACCCTTTTTGAGGTTTCCTCTCATTCAAGGATGACTGAATTAAAGGAGGAAATGTAGGTGGAGGAAAATGGAAGACCTTTGATGGGTCAATCAGTCAGGGTCCTGCCCAAAAATAGAGACCACTCTCAAATGGGGTAATTGAGGAGAGTTAAAGGAAAGGACAATTTACAATGGTGTGGACAGGATTAAGGGAAACCAAGAAAAGATGGTGAAATCCCACAGGGAGTTATTATCACCCCTAGGCCTTAAGGGGAAGTGGTAGGAGAGGGCCACCTAACAGGAACTGGGGCCATTGATGGAGGAACACAGCCACCTTGCAGCAACCTTGGTAGGGTGAAGGTCTCCTCTACTGGGTCTCCAGTCTATGCCTCCCACTGGCCAATCCCAAGTGGAAGTAGGTCAGCCTTCTCAGGATGGAGAAAGGTGGGAGGGGATCCATAGTGGCAGCAAGAAGAGATCTGGTGCACTGGAGTTTTTGTTGTAGGCAATGCATATTGTCTAGTCCTCTTTGGGATGGGAGAGCATCCTCCAAAGGTATAAGGGTGCATAAGGATGTACTCAGCAGCTAAGTACGGCTCAGTGATGTGAATAATAAATACAGAGATTCTTTGAATCAGGGACTCTAGCCTTGTCTTCTCTTTTGTTCCTGTGTTGATATGCTGTGCCTTTTCTTTGACTGGGATATAGAGCCACATATATTAGCAGCCTAGAGGAGGAAGAACAGGCCTTTTGGCCATCGTCACTGCCTGTGCTTGAAGCAACATTGCTACCATGTTGGGGCTGTAGGTCATCTTTGGAGTAGAGCTGCTTATAAGAAGGGGGCATTTTTATATTCTAGCATGATTTTCTGCACCCTTCTTTCCCCACAGAAGTATTATTCTTACTTTGCTTTCAAAAGTTGTGTGTATAAATCCCGGAAGAGATATAATATGAGCTGAATATAAAGGCCAGCTGCCAAATAGAATTGATGTTTGATACTTAGAATTTTTGGAAGTTGAACAGCTTCTGGTTGAATAGTTGAATTAGTTAACACAACTCAACTCTGAAAGGCCCACTGTGATAAAGCAATGACATTTAACCAAGGCTGTAATTTGATTGTATTGTACCCGTTGGCAATGGCTCTTTGATCTGTGAAAATATTTGCTGCTTGGTTTAATTAATTTATAATGTTAGTTCATTTGCAGAATGAAAAACTCCGTTTTCCAAATTTCAGGCTTGAGTTCATAAAACCCACTTTCCTTGAAAAAGTAGTTAATCTATTCAATGATATTGTTGGACGGTAGGCGTTTCTCATTCCATTGAGCTTAAAAGTAGTAGCCCAGTCCTAATGAAGCCACCAGTTTTTATATTTCAACTTCTGAAATAACACATGTAATGTTAAACTACTTTGTAAAACAAGAATTCATTGCTTATGGTAAGCCAAGCTGCAAATCAGTTTAATAATATTCTAACCATACATTGGAGTCCTTTTTGGGATATTTGATGCTTTTGATTTTGGAGCTGTCTTAATTAGGGAGGAAATAATTTGAGCTTGAGAACCTAGAATATAAATTGGTAGTTTCTTCAACTCCAAAAATTACTTGGAAATTACCTGGAAGATCAGCCCATTGTTTCTGTTAATTTGAAAGGATTTTTATGGAAATCCCTTTAAATGAATGCAAAGAGTTATGTTTCTGAGTATAATTCGTGTATTAAAATTTCAAAATAATAATAGAACTATTTCCGATGATCCCTTTTTCTAAATAATCCTAAGGTTATATAAAAATAATGCCATCGTATAGCATTTCTCATTCCATTGAGCTTAAAAGTAGTAGCCCAGTCCTAATGAAGCCACCAGTTTTTATATTTCAACTTCTGAAATAACACATGTAATGTTAAACTACTTTGTAAAACAAGAATTCATTGCTTATGGTAAGCCAAGCTGCAAATCAGTTTAATAATATTCTAACCATACATTGGAGTCCTTTTTGGGATATTTGATGCTTTTGATTTTGGAGCTGTCTTAATTAGGGAGGAAATAATTTGAGCTTGAGAACCTAGAATATAAATTGGTAGTTTCTTCAACTCCAAAAATTACTTGGAAATTACCTGGAAGATCAGCCCATTGTTTCTGTTAATTTGAAAGGATTTTTATGGAAATCCCTTTAAATGAATGCAAAGAGTTATGTTTCTGAGTATAATTCGTGTATTAAAATTTCAAAATAATAATAGAACTATTTCCGATGATCCCTTTTTCTAAATAATCATAAGGTTATATAAAAATAATGCCATCGTATAGCACTATATAGTGTAGATTGTGCTTTTTCACATGTATTGTACCATTTGAGCCTCAAGTGAATGAAACCTTGTTATACAGATTGGGCAACTAAGGCCTGGGAAAGTGAAGTGATGTACTCAAAATAACATTGCTAGCAGCTGAACTCACACACAGCCTACTATTCCTGACCCCTGGCCTTTTTCTCTATACCCTGAGCTGTACCTGCTGATCACCTGACTTTTACAGAGGTGGCAGACAGCAGTGCTTAGGACATTTCAGAGGTCTTACGAAAATCTGGGATTGAACCTGCAGTAACCTGACGCAGTTGTGAAATTTCTAAGTCTCATGTTTTTGCTTTTATATTAATGTGCCTTTG